TGCTGCAAAGAACAGTGGAAGCTAGGGTTGCCATTCCTCCAATGGGGGCGGGGTTTGCCTGCTTTCAGGCCCCCAGATCTGCTGGCCCCGTTCCTTCTGGCGGGGGAATCCCGCCCCCAAAGTGCCTCGTTCGCACCGTGTCTGGTGCACCTGGAGGCGACGTCAACGTGCAGTGCATGTTGTGGGGGGACGTATCATTTGAGAAAATGAGAAAACGAGAAGATGATAGAACATCCCCCTGCAAAGTGCTCTGCATGATGACATCACTTCCGGGTGATGTCATCAGGGTATGCATGCTTTGCGTGTGTGCCGAAAAGGTCCCAAGATAGAGAGGCACCCCCCCACCCGCTGGGAGCCAGGTAGTGGAAGCTGATGGAACTTCTTAACTCTTCCACCTCTGATGTTTCTCCACTAAAATTGATTCCCCCTGTGTGTGTGGGGGGGGGAATAATTTTTTGAGAAGAATTTCTGGACTGAAAAGGGTTAAGAAGACCCTCTCCCTCTATTTAGTGATCCAGGTTTCAACTCCTAAGGCTGTATTTTGTAAAAGAAAAAAAACTCCAGGAAAAATAAGTACATCAGATGGCGTGCTGAGAGTGGTTTGATCTGGATAATTGTGATCACACTTACCTCCCTCACAGTGCAGTCTCATCGCTCCCCGGCATCTACACTACCGACACGTGGGAGAGTGTGTTGGCAGTTTTTCCGCCTCAGTTTGCACATGCGCATAGGCATTGAAATCTTCACGCATGCACAGAACAACTAGGGTGAATCACAGCTTTCCGCTGTAACAGAACACTTCCCTTTAAACTTTTGACATGAAACTGGCCTCAGTGAGATCCTGAACTCATCTAAATGCTAAAATGAGTCACCATTTAAACTTTGGTTTTATTAATGCAGGAGCGGAGCTCAGCCTATGCGCATATCGCCAACGCTAAAAAAGATGGCGGATGAAAAGCGGAAGCCTTAGGCTTTCAAGCGGAAGTGGCTTGACACTGCAAGGAGTCATCAGACATCAGAAAACTCTGGCTTGAACCAGAGAACCAGGTCAGGGACAGAGGGGACAGAGGGTGGCAGTGGGAGAGAATGTGTCCTCCAGACACCACTTAACATGTAGGGTCCCTCAGGGGGAGTTTCTCTCCCCGATGTTATTCAACATCTACATGCATCCCCTTGCCCTGCTGGTGCGAAGTTTTGGGCTCGGGTGTCACCAGTAGGCTGATGACACCCAGCTGTATCTGTTATTGGATGGCCTTCCAGGTACTGCTCCTCAGAATTGGGCTGCAGGTATGGAGGCTGTGGTTGGGTGGTTGAAACTGAGCAGGTTGAGACTGAATCCAACTAAGATGGAGGTTCTGTGGTGGAGGGGAGGAGTTTGGGACATCCCGCTCTTGATGGGGCACCACTAACACCAGCACAGTCTGTCAAGAGCTTGGGAGTGATCTTGGATACCTCCTTGAATATGGAGGCCAAAGTCACGCATATTGCCAGGCTGGAGTTTATTCCATCTGTGCTAGGTTCGCCAATTGTCCCTTTTCCTGTCATGCCCTGACCTAGCCACGGAAATCCATGCAACGGTTACCTCCAGGCTACACTACTGTAACTCACTCTGCATTGGCCTGCCCTTGAGACTGAGCCTGAAGCTCCAGCTGATCCAGAATGCAGCGGTGTGAGTCCTGACAGGAACATCATGGATGGCACACATACAACTGGTGCTGTGCCAGCTACACTGGCTTCCAGTGGAGTACAGAGTCAAATTCAAGGTTCTGGTGTTGACCTTCAAGGCCTTGAGCAGTCAGGGACCGACGTATCTATGGGACTGTCTCCTCTGTTATGTCCCCGGGAGAGCATTACGCACCTTGGAGAGCAATTTTCTTGTGGTCCCCGGCTCCAAAGACATTCAGTTGTCCTCAACCATGGCCAGGGCCTTTTCGGTCTGGGCCCCAACCTGGTGGAACTCTCTGCCAAACAACATCAGGGCCTTGTGGGATCTTTTTTTTTTCTCTCAACAATTTTTTATTGAAGTCTTGCAATTCATACAACCATTAAGATAAGTTATAACTACTTCAATTTTAACAGAAAATTGAAAGATTGGTTAGATTCACAATTAATACAGTATTTGTTATGAACATTTGAATAACTACTATTTTTCTAATCTCGAAAACTTGCTGAAAGCCATAGGATTTTGGGATATGAGGGGTATAACCTTGAATTCATGTAACGTTAGAAGATTAGAAAATCGAAGAATAATACATTCCTTAGTGAAGGTTTCGTTATGTTAAGGCGAGCGTTAACTGCACTGTGCTGTGTCTTTATATCTTGACTAGCCTTGTGGGATCTTATGCAATTCCGCAGGGGCTGTAAGGCAGAGATGTTCCGCCAGGCCTTTGGCTGAGGACAACAATGGTTACCAACTTGGCTGGCACCCTCTTCTGCTCTCTGTATTCACCCTACCCCTCTTCCCCCCCACCCGTGAAGTGGTCGGCAGTCTGTAACTGAAAATAATTGGCACTCACCATCTGAGTCTTTTAGATATGTAGTATTAATGTTATTCAGATATTTTATTCTATGTTTGATGTTTTTATCGTCATTATACATTGCCCAGAGCCCTGCAGTAGCTGGGATTGGGTGATCCATAAGTCCAATAAATGCTGCTGATGATGATGATACAAAAGCATAAAGACCAACAATAAAAAAATCTTCAAATATGTTAGTAGCAAACACCAGCCAGGGAGTCAGTGGGGCCATTGGATAACCAAGGGGTTAAAGGATTACTGAAGGATGATAGGGAAATGGCAGAGGAGATTAATGCATTTTTTTGCCTTTGTCTTCACTGTAGAAGATGGGAGGTGCTTGCCCAGTCCAGAACCACCAATATCAGAAAGGGTGTTGAAAGATCTGAGTTGGATTGAGGTGCCAAGAGAGGAGGTCCTACACTTGAAGGACAAATTTAAAAACTGACAAATCATCAGGCCCAGATGGCATACATCCAAGAGTTCTGAAAGAACTCCAATGTGAACTTGCGGATCTCCTGACAAAAATATGCAATATATCACTAAAATCTGCCTCCATTTCTGAGGACTAGAAGGTAGCTAATGTCACTCCCATCTTTAAAAAGGGTTCCGGAAGAGATCCACGAAATTACAGGCCAGTCAGTCTGACGTTGATACCGGCATAGTTGGTGGAAACTGTTATTAAGGAAAGACATTAATGAACAAAAACTATTGAGGCAGACTCAGCATGGATTCTGTAAAGGACCATCTTGTCTCACTAATCTTTTAGAGTTCTTTGAAGGGGTGAACAAACATGTGGACAATGGTGACCCCATAGACATTGTTTACCTAGACTTCCAGAAAGCCTTTGATAAAATTCCTCATCAAGGGCTCCTAAGTAAACTCAGCAGTCATGGGATAAGAGGACAAGTCCTCTTGTGTATTAAAAACTGGTTAATTAACAGGAAACAGGGAATGAGTCTAAATGGGCAGTTTTCACAGTGGAAGGTGGTAAGCAGTGGGGTATCGCAGTGCTTGGTACTAGGTCTGGTGTTTTTTTCACTTGTTCATTAATGATTTGGAGTTGAGAGTAAGCAGTGAAGTGGCTAAGTTTGCAGATGACACTAAGATGCTCAGGGAGGTGAGAACCAGGGAGGAATGAGAGGTGCACCAAAGGGATCTGTCAAGGCTGGGTGAGTGGGCAACAGTGTGGCAAATGAGGTTCAACATAGGCAAGTGCAAGGTGATGCACATTGGAGCCAAAAATCCTAACTATAAATATACATTGATGGGATCCGAACTGGTGGAGACTGACTACAGAGATATTGTAGCCATGGTAGTTAACTCATTGAATATGTCTACCCGGTGTGCAAATCCTAGGCTGGAGATTATTAGGAAGGGGGTTGAAAACAAATCAGCCAGTATCATAATGCCCCTGTATAAATCGATGGTGTGGCCTCATTTGAAATATTGTGTACAGTTCTGGTCACCGCACTTCAAAAAAGATATTACAGCATTGGAAAAACTGCAGAAAAGGGCAACTAAAATTATTAAGGTGATGGAACACATTCCATATGAAGAAAGGTTAAAGAGGTTAGGGCTCTTTAGCTTGGAAAAATGATGATTGAGGGGTGACATGACAGAGGTTCACAAAATTTTGCATGGGATAGAGAAAGAAGTACTTTTCTCCCTTTCTCACAATACAAGAACTTGTGGGTACTCAGTGAAATTAATGAGTCGTGGTGGCTCAGTGGTTAAGACACTGAACTGCAGGCCAGAAGGTTGGTAGTTCAGCAGTTCGAGATCCGAGTACTGCTCCTGTCACTGGTCCCAGCTCCAGCCAACATAGCAGTTCAAAAGCAAGAAATTGCAAGTAGATAAATAGGTACCGCTTTGGTGGGAAGGTAACAGCATTCCTTGTGTCTCGGCATCCAGTCATGCCAGCCACATGACCATGGAAACATCTTCGGACAGCGCTGGCTCTTCGGCTTGGAAACGGAGATGAGCACCACAACCCTAGAGTCAGGTTTGACTGGCTTTCGAGCAAGGGAAATGTTTACTTTTAAGCTTAGAACAGGTAAAAGGAAGTACTTCTTCACCCAAAGAGTAATTAATTAACACATGGAATTCATTGCCTCAAGGTGGTGGCAGTTACAAGCATATAGATAAGCTTCAAGAGGGAACTGGATAAACATATGGAGCCAGAGGTCCATCAGTGACTATTAGCCAGAAGGTCTGGAGCAGTGATGCTCTGTATTGTTGGTGCGGGGGGGGGGGGCAAAAGCGGCAAGGCTTCTGGAGTTCTGGCCCCGCTGGTGGACCTCCTGATGGCACCTGGGTTTTGGACACTGTGTGACAAAGAGTGTTGGGCTGGATGGGTCATTGGCCTGATTCAACATGGCTTGTCTTAAGTTCTTAACTGATGGGGAGCAGGGCATTTTATATTCTGTTTTCCCTGATAATACTTTCTGTTCTTGTTTAGTTCTTGTCAGTAATAATGATGCTTACAAGCAGGTCTTGGCTTTCCTTTTCAGCATCTGCTTTATAGGCCAGAATTTTCTGTCTCTCGTTCTTCACGGTCTCCAGGCATCTGTGGATCTGATCCTGAGGAGAAAGCAAACATTCCGGATAAATTTTAAAGGCTTACTATATATACCAATGAAAACTGTTCTTTCAATAAAAAGAGGGCCTAACTACACGATGTGCCCAACATGTGCCTTGTCACCGCTGCATGACTGCACCCATAGATGTACATCAGGGGAACTAATCTTATAAAGTGCTTGTTTCCTTAGCACTTTGAGGAAGAAGGAACTTCTGGTTTCACTTCCACTTCACTTCCGGCTTGCTTTTGCAACTGACTAACTTACTAACAACAAAGCTAGTGGAGGTGGTGGTATCCCAGCTGAGCTATTCAAAGTCTTAAAAGATGCTGCTGTTAAAGTGCTGCACTCAATTTGCCAGCAGATTTGGAAAACGCAACAGTGGCCACAGGATTGGAAAAGGTCAGTATACATTCCAATCCCAAAGAAGGGCAATGCCAAGGAATGTTCAAACTATCGCACAATTGCACTCATATCACACACTAGCAAGGTCATGCTCAAGATCCTACAAGCTAGGCTTCAACAGTACATGGATAGAGAACTGCCAGAAGTACAAGCTGGGTTTCGAAGAGGTAGAGGAACGAGAGATCATATTGCCAACATTCGCTGGATTATGGAGAAAGCAAGAGAGTACCAGAAAAACATCTACTTCTGCTTCATTGACTATGCTAAAGCCTTTGACTGTGTGGATCACAACAAACTATGGCAGGTCCTTAAAGAGATGGGAGTACCAGACCACCTCACATGTCTCTTGAGAAACCTGTATAAGGGCCAAGAAGCGACAGTTAGAACCGGATACGGAACAACTGATTGGTTCAGCATAGGAAAAGGAGTACGACAAGGATGTATACTGTCACCTTGCTTATTTAATATATATGCAGAGTACATCATGCGAAATGCTGGCCTGGATGAATCACAAGCGGGAATTAAGATTGCTGGGGAAAAGATCAACAACCTCAGATATGCAGACGATACCACTCTAATGGCAGAAAGTGAAGAGGACCTAAAGAGCCTCTTGCTCAGGGTAAAAGAGGAGAGCGCAAAAGTGGGCTTGAAGCTCAACATCAAAAAAACTAAGATCATGGCATCCGGCCCCATCACTCCTTGGCAAATAGAAGGGGAAGTCGTGGAAGTAGTGACAGACTTCACGTTCCTGGGATCCCAGATCACCGCAGACTGTGACTGCAGCCATGAAATTAAAAGACGCCTGCTCCTTGGGAGGAAAGCGATGGCGAACCTAAACAGCATGATAAAAAGTAGAGACATCACCCTGCCAACAAAAGTCCGCATGGTCAAAGCAATGGTATTCCCAGTAGTCATGTATGGCTGCGAGAGTTGGACTATAAGGAAGGCCGAGCGCAGAAGAATAGATTCTTTTGAACTATGGTGCTGGAGAAGACTCTTGAGAGTCCCTTGGACTGCAAGAAGATCAAATCAGTCAATCCTAAAAGAAATCAACCCTGACTGTTCCCTGGAAGGCCAGATAATGAAACTGAAGCTCAAATACTTTGGCCACCAAATGAGAAGGGAGCACTCACTGGAGAAGACCCTGATGCTGGGAAAGATGGAAGGTCAAAGAAGATGGGGACGGCAAAGGATGAGATGGTTAGACAGTGTCATAGATGCAACAAACATGAAACTGAGCAAACTTCAGAGGACGGCGGAAGACAGGAAGGCCTGGCTTAATCTAGTTCATGGGGTCGCAAAGAGTCTGTGCAACTGAACAACAACAACAACAAATCTTCTTGGACTGAAGGGGGAGTTGCCCATGGCCTGAACAATGTACTTTTGGTGCCAAGCAGAGGCTCTACCACTGAGCCACAGCCCTTCCTCGGCCAGAGCTTGGACAGACACACAAGGAGCAATGCTCCCCCTAAGCTGTGGAGTCTTATGAGCAAAGATTCTACTTTGTGAGCTACTGGCATTAAAATTGTGAGTGAGTGATTTGGCTATTGCATAAATTAGTTTGCTCTGGAGCCATCCTTCCTGAGCTGAGACAAAAATATATGAGCCGGAGGCTAGAAAACTGTGAGCTAGCTCACACTAACTCAGCTTAGAGGGAACACTGACAAGGAGTATGCCAAATCCTAGCATTCTGCTAGCGCTTCAAGGGGTCACTTCAAGTGCTTTGGTGTAGAACCAGCCTCATGTATGGAACAAAATGTTCTGGCTGTTTGGAATGCAGGCCAGGAGGGGACTACCCTTAGTCTAGCTGTTGTCTTTTTCCTCCCTCCACCCATGTTTTTATCCACCCTTTGACTGTTGTTCTCCCCCCACCTCCCCCTTTCCTCTTGTAAAACTTCGGGTTGGCCCAAACAAATATTTGAGTCTTCTTGTTGCTGTATTCTGTTGCTTTGCAAAGATTGGCACAAAAGAGTGTACTGCAGTAAGCCAAGTAACTAATATCTTGACCTTGTGGTAATAAAATGACCTTGATTAAACAGAGAAAGTGGGTTGGTCTTACTTTTGTTTTCAGTATGGCCCAAACACTCACTGTAAAAAGGAGAAAAAAACCCCGCATTGGCACCTTGTCCCTCCTTACAAGTGAAAGCTTCGGCCCTGGAGGGAGAGCCCCTCTCCTGCTATATTGGGAGGGAAGTGCATCTTCTCCACCCCAGAGAATGGAAGGGTTCCACCAGCCAGGATCCAGATGAGTCCCTACCTTGTATTGCTGAGCAGCCTCTTCCAGGAGGAGTATTTTGTGTCCTCGGTGTTCTGGGGATCGCTCACAGAAAAAACACACCAATTGTTCATCCTCTTTGCAGAAGAGGTGGAGTTTTTCCTTGTGTTTCAAGCAACGATCTTTCCCCCCTGAACTTAGTGGCAACTGTTTCATTTTTTCTAGTAGGTGTGCCAGCTGCCAGTTTCGACGGAAATTCCCTTTCCGGATCTTGAATTTGCAGGTGGGACACTCCAAGCCCCCCAGTGCTTCCCATTTCTCACAGTAGTTGGTGATGCAGCCCTGACAGAAGCTGTGCCCACAGTCCAGGACCACAGGCTCTGTCAGGCACCCCAGGCAGATGGGACATGTGACTACTTCTTCCACATCTATGGATGGTGGGGCTGAGGCCATGGGGGCTGGATTCACAGTGGCTTGGATGATAGGAAAGGCAACTTGTAAGATCTGTAAAAGGGCAGCAGAAGAGGAATTAGCTAGAGATAAAGGGATGGAATCCTAGGATGTTGCTGTGTTGAATTTACTTTGAAATAGATTGTATTGTATTGCTTTTTTATTTTTTAACTATGTAATATTTATTGATAATAAGTTCAACAATGCAATAATCGTGACAATAGGTGTACAAAGTTAATACCACTCACTATTATTTCTTATTACAATACAGATGTTGCTAAACTTTCAAACTTACAATGCACAGATATTACGAGTGTTGAGATGAAATATCTGTAATATGAGAGAGAGTGTAACTTTACTTGTCACGGGTGGGTGTTTTCTGCACTGACCCTGGCTTTGTGGAGAAGACTGAGTCCCCAGATAAAAGCTTATTTCATCATGGCTTCTGCTCCCAAACCAAGAGCTACCCCAAATGGAAGAATAAGTGTAAGAGAGAGGAAGAGAGTCTCTTCCTTGTGTCCTCAACTTTTATAATCTATGTTGGGGAGTCTGTCCACCACCCCCATATAGGGGGTGGTGGTCTGTCCCACCTAGAGTTCATCTGGATCTTCTTGCCCCCAAAGGAAGAGTTTACTTTCTAGCCATTTGACTCCAAGCAATCTCTGTCCCTTTGGGATATGATCTGGCAGCAGGGTGTGAGATCGTAAACTGTTACCCTGTAATTCAGTCAGACTCCTTAGCATAACCAAGAGCCTGATGATTCCTTTCTTCAACCCCTTTCTTTGTGCCAGCTACTAGTCTATGCAAAAATATAAACCGCAAGGGTAGACCATCAAAGGATATACAACTTTCACAAGTAAACAGTAGACATCAGTCTATGGCAACACAATATCAACAAATTGAAGATACAATAGAATTGGTGGTCACAATTCAAGACACACTGTTTGCAAATTCAAAGCACAATTTGACGATAGTAGAAAATATCCAACAAGAGACTCCTCTATA